TCAATCCCACTATTCGTTGTTAAAAGAGTAGCCCAAGAGTTGGCGGTGGGTGTGATGACTAGCTGCCTTCCCTCTAGTCTTACACTGCTAAATTAGGGACGGCTAGCGCAGATAGCCCTCGTGTAGCTTTGCGCGAAATTCAAAACAAACAAACAAGAGACTATCAAAATCACATAGACGAAAACAGTGCCCTCGAAAATCAGAGACAAAAAACGAAGAACAACACATTGACAGAGAAGAGACAATGCTAAAATCTGGGGCTCGATTCCTCGTGTTAAACAAAAATCAAGATAGTTTAATGTGTAGCTTTGCGATAATAACAAATTCGGGTAATTTACTATACCAATTACTCTTTTACGTTCAAAGTAAATACTGCAGGGTATTTTTTATCAATATAACTTTCTAAGCATCTCTAAACCTTCGTATTATTGACTTTTTATGATAACTTCTCAATAAATAAAGTTGGATAACTTTGTAATGGGTGTAGCCTAAATATATCCTTACGAATTAGAAGCCTAATACTACCTGATAAAGAGGACATACTTAGGACAAACCTTACAGAGTGTAGACAGTAAGTAATTACCTGTTACAATGTAGCTTAGTTGTTTAATTTCTTACTTTAGCAATGACTCTAGGCTTCATGAAATATGACCAGCCAATCAAATAACTTCCTGGTATACCTTGATGTACTTACATGTTAGTATGTCTTTCTCCATAGTATTTTACCACAACACTACGTTTCGCAGAACATTATTAGCCAAGCAGATACAGAGCAGTACACACCACCGAAAATGATCTCCCAAACTGATAATTTTTTGTTTTATCCTGAGGTAAGACTATTTCTTGTCAATTTTCAAATCAATGCGACATTATACTAATAGTGAAATCAAATGTGTTCTCTTGTTGTTAACCCTTGAAATCACTTTTTAGTTCCGGGAACGTTTGGTATGATATTTACATAATCGTGTACATGTATCTGTCTAAACAGCTGGGTGCGCGCATACTGTAATACAGAATATGGTTTTTCATAATGTATACGTAACTAAAACATAGTGTGTGTTTGTGGGAATGTATATTTATGTACATACTAACTGTAACACAATATATAGTTATTTCATAATGTATACGTAACTATAACACAATATATAGTTATTTCATAATGTATACGTAACTAAAACATAGTGTGTGTTTGTGGGAATGTATATTTATGTACGTACATCTTTACTGTAACACAATATGTAATTATTTGATGATGTATACATAGCTAAAATATAATGTGTGTTTGTGTGGATGTATCTTTATATACATCTTTACTGTAACACCATATACAGTTATGTGATAATGTATGTGTAGCTAAAATATAATGTGTGTTTGTGCGGATGTATCTTTACATACATCTTTACTGTAACACCATATACAGTTATGTGATTATGTATGTGTAGCTAAAATATAATGTGTGTTTGTGCAGATGTATCTTTATATACATCTTTATTGTAATACAATATGTAGAAATTTCATAATTCATACGTTGCTAAAATATAATGTGTGTTTGTGCGGATGTATCTTTACATACATCTTTACTGTAACACCATATACAGTTATGTGATTATGTATGTGTAGCTAAAATATAATGTGTGTTTGTGCAGATGTATCTTTATATACATCTTTATTGTAATACAATATGTAGAAATTTCATAATTCATACGTTGCTAAAACAAATATAGAGTGTGTTTCTGAGGATGTATATTTATCTACATTTTTATTGTAATACAATCTATGTTTATTTCATGATGCATACGTAGCTTAAATATAGTGTGTGTGTTTGTGTGGATGTATATTTATTCACATCTTTACTGTAACACAATATGTAGATACTTCATAATGTATACTTAGCTAAAGATAGCTTATGTTTGCGTGAATGTATGTATACTTATGTACATATTTAATGTAACGCAATGTGTAGTTATTTCATTATGCATGCGTAGCTAAAATATAGTGTGTGTGTTTGTGTGGATGTATATTTGTGTGAATGTTTACTGTAAAACAATATGTAGTTATTTCATAATCTATACGTAGCTCAACGATAGTGCGTGTTTGTGTATATATGTAATTAACTACATCTTTCCTGTAATACAGTATATGGTTATTTCATGATGCATACGTAGCTTAAAAACAGTGTGTGTGTTTGTGTGGATGAATATTTATTTACATCATTACTGTAACACAATATGTAATTATTTCTATGTGTATACGTAGCTAAACAATGCAGTGTGTTTGTATGGATGTTTTTTATATACATCTTTACTGTAACATAATATGTAGTTATTTCATAACCTATACATAGTTAAAATATATTGTGTGTTTGTGTCTATTTATATTTATGGACATATTTTCTGTAACACAATATATGGTTATTTCATGATGTTTACGTAACTAAAATATATTATATGTTTGTGTAGATGTACATTTATGTACATCTTTACTTTAATACAATGTATCTTTAGTTGATAAAGTATACCTAGCTAAAATATTGTGTGTGTTTGACTGGGTGTATAGTTATGTATATCGTTACTATAACACAATATGTAGTTATGTATAATCTATACTTAGCTAAAATATATTGTGTGTTTGCGCAGATGTATAGTTATGCACATATTTACTGTAACACGATATGTAGTTATGTTATAATGTAAACGTAGCTAAAATATAGTATGTTTTTGTGTGGATGTAGTTTTGTGTACATGTTTACTGTAACACAATATGTAGTTATTTATAATCTATACGTAGCTAACACATAGTATGTGTTTGTGTGGATGTGTATTTAGGTGTATGTTTACTGTAACACAATATATAGTTATTTCATAATGTATACGTAGCAAAAATATCATGCATGTTTTTGTGAATCTATACTTATGTACATCTTTACTGTAATGCCATGTACTGTTATTTCATAAAGTATACCTAGCTAAAATATAGTATTTGTCTCTGTTGATGTATATTTGCGTACATCTTTATTGTAAAACAATATATTGTTATTCATAATGTATACCTAACTAAACGATAGGTTTTTGTCTGGAGGTATATTTATGTACATCTTTACTGTAATACAGTGTATGGTTATTTCATAACGCATACGTAGCAAATTATAGTATGTTTTGGTGAATGCACATTTACGTACATCTTTACTGTAACACAAAAGATAGTTATTTCATAAAGTATACCTAGCTAAAATCTAGTGTGTATTTGCGTGGAAGTATATCTATGTACATGTTTCCTCTAGCGCAATATGTAGTGATGTTGTAATTCATAGGTAGCAATACTGTAGTATGTTTATGTGGATGTATATTTATACATTTTTACTCTAACACAATATATAGTTATTTCATAATGTATACGTAGCTAAAAATATAGTATGTATTTGGGTGGATGTGTATATATATATATATGTACATCTTTAATGTAATACCATGTACTGTTATATCATAAAATATACCTAGCTAAAATATAGTGTGTGTTTCTGTGCATGTATATTTTTGTACATCTTTATTGTAAAACGATATATTGTTATTCATAATGTATACGTAAGTAAACGATAGTTTTTTGTTTGGAGGTATATTTATGTGCATCTCTACTGTAACACAAGATGTAGTTATTTCATAATTCATAGGTAGCAAAACTGTAGTGTTTATGTGGATGTATATTTATGTATTTCTTTACTGTAACACAATACGATGTTTTTCATAATGTATATAGAGACAAAAATATAGTGTGTGTTTGTGTGGATTATATTGATGTACATCTTCACTGTAACACAATAGATAGTTGCTTCTTAATATATAAGTAACTAAAATATAGTGTGGGTTTGCGTGGATGTATATTTATGTACATCATTACTGTAAATCAATACAGTTATTTCATATTGTATACCTAGCTAAAATATAGTGAGTGGTGGCGTAGAAGTATCTTTATGTGTATCTTTACTGTAACATAATATGTAGTTATATTATAATGTATACATACCTAAAATATAGTGTTTGTTTCTGTTGATGTATATTTATGTACATCTTTATTGTAAAACAGTATATTGTTATTCATAATCTATACGTAGCTAAAATATACTGTGTGTTTGTGTGGATGTTTATTTATATACATCTTTACTGTAACACAATATATGGCTATTTCATAATGTATACATATGTAAAAGATAGTGTATGTCTATGTGGATGTATAGTTATTTACATCTTTACTTTAATACATTATATGGTTACTTCATAATGTATACATAGCTAAAATATAGCATGTTTTTGTGTGGATATATATATAGATCTTTACTGTAATACCATGTATTGTTATTTCATAAACTATACCTAGCTAAAATATAGTGTGTGTGTGTGTGTGTTTCTGTGCATGTATATTTATATACATTTTTACTCGAATATAATATTTAGTTATTTATAATCTATACATACCTAAAATATAGTGTTTGTTTCTGCTGATATATATTTATTTACATCTTTATTGTAACACAATATATGTTTATTTCATAATCTATACGTAGTTAAAATATACTGTGTGTTTGTGTGGATGTATATTTATGTACATCTTTTAGTCTTGCTACTTGGATGACCAGCAACTGCCATTCTACGAGCCAGAGACGTTAAAGTTTGACACCATCTTGAGTGACTTCCAGAGCTACTGGAATCATAACGAGAATGCAATCGAAACAATTCCACAAGCGACTAGTACAACACAGAGTTTTCTTACTCCAACCCCAATTTATAGTAAGTAGCTTCGATGTAGGTTTTCTGCAGTTTTCCTATCCTTGCATATAGTTAAACGGGTATTTTTCGCTCTTCATTTAGATATCCCTCCTTGTTAATAAAGTAGTAATTACTAAGTTAAAATGTAAAGCGCAGATATGATAACTGAGAAAATCGTGAAAATGTATTAACCCTATATATTTAATATAAACTGTTAAATGCTTTTAAATGTTTCATAAACTTATACCTTTATATACGAAGCATTATCAGGAAATTATCATTCATTTTTCACGTAACTATTAAAACTTTAGGAGAATATGTTTTAAAGATTACCGTTATAAATATTATATCGTAACACTAACGCCCCATGTGAGTGCTCATACAACGGACAAGGTTTTACGCTAGGTATACGTTAGTTATCAAGTAGAAATAGTTGTATCACTCAACTGTATTTCCGGTACCCTATCAGCGTTTCCCAGAGTATGGGGCGAGCCCCTCAGGGTGCGCGAGCGATTAGGTTAGAGTCACTGGTACGATAATGCAAAATTAAGCGTTTTCACATATTTTTTTATTAATGACAACAATAAGTAATTACTCCAACACATATATCATTTTAATGTGTATTCATGAATTACACCTCGTCACTTAACTCATTATTTCACTCATTTAAAGGAAGAAAGCATATTTATTAAAGAGGGGCGTGAATGACAAGAGTTTGGGAAACGCTGCCCTACATCACACCTATGATATGAAGCGGACTGATACGCAGAAAATACTTATATATATCTGCAGCATCGTAAAAGGCCGTGTGATTCAAAATTACTCCTCACTGGTAGTTAACGTTGTAAATTAACTTGTGCAACTTTTTTACCGACTTTTATATTTTCTCTGCTACTGCTTCCAAGTTCCTTTGGGCGCCAGATGACTTGGTAGAAACGCTATAAAAAAAGTTGTTTCATAAATTCGATGTGGGTCTTACTGGTATGTTAAAAAGTAGTTCTACATAAACGTCTACGTCATACATCTGAGGTTAGGTGCAAGGCACGTTTCTCATCCATCGGTTCACCACAATCACCTTACCGTCCGTTGGATTTCACACACACACACACACACATACATAACAAAAAAAAAGGAAAACAATAACAAAAGAAAAATTGACAGATTATTCATATGTAAATCACAATGGTTTGTCTTTATATTTCTGTTTCAATGTTCCGCGACAGTTTAGACTTTAGTTTAGGGAAGCAGCGAGTTGGCCTCCTAGTAATAGTATCGAAAAGTTTGAAAAACGATGATGTAGGGTAACGGCTAAGGAGATCTGAGTGATATTTATATACTAATTTTCATTTTTCTAAGTAACAAATAAGACAAGATATCTAGAGAATGGAAAAATATCAAACAGAAAGTTCGTATTAAACAAAAGGAATAAGCACTGTAATTTCAGAAGTGTCATTGAAATTTAGGCCACTCGAAATTTTTAAAAGGTAGGCCTAATAACATACTGTTGCGTCAGCGGAGGTCACGTGACTAGTATCACGCCACGTCCTTCTCGAACATTCACGTCCCTTCCTTAAATCTCGGGATCCTTCTAGATATAGTGTAGTCTTGTATATATAAGACGGTCACAAAATGACCGCAACAATGTGTGTAATTGAACGGAGTATTGTTGAGTCGAGCACGTGAGACGTTCGTTGAGAATTATAGCGTTTGTTATAGCGCGACTGTTGAAATTAAGTGTATCGCAAAGTTATATTCAGAAAGAATAAACCAGTTTTATTTAAGAAAGGACTTCTATCGGTAAAGTTTCTTCGGAAAGAATTTTTACGGAAAATTAACGAACGAACGGAGACGTAACAATACGTTAATTTCAAGAGAGTAAACTCATTTCTAGAAAATGAGAAAACAAATTAGGCCTTAAACAACTTGGCAGGCAAATATGAAATAATGCTTTCAACAAATTTTAACGTTACCCAATATAAAATAAACTTTCATGTTATTATCAGTTAAACATTTTGGCTAATTTTGTAGTTATTTATACGTATTTTAAAATGCATAGCCTGTTTACTTTTTATTTTTACGAAGATCGTGCAAATATTAGACCTTATAACCTTTATAAAGCTAATTGGTTAGAACACAAGAAACCTATATTTGTTTTGGTGAATTTCTTTGCATAATAATCTGGTGGTACGAATATTTCAAAAAAGAAAATTATATTTTAAGTTTGACATAACCCAAAATACTTTGTTGGTACAGAAAGAATATTTTTTTCAACAAACTTATAAAGGTATACAGAATTATACTTCAACTTAGTTAAATTGTACAGTTGTGTTAAGTTTTCTAAAAATCATTTGTGACATTTTTAACATCGTAATTTAATTAATTTTGTAATTCTTAACTTTGTAATTTAATTAATTTTGTAATTCTTAACTTCATAACTTGATTAATTCTATAATTCTTAACTTTCTAACTTATTTAATTTTGTAATTCTTAACTTTCTAACTTATTTAATTTTGTAATTCTTAACTTCATAACTTGATTAATTTTATAATTCTTAATTTTGTAACTTATTTAATTTTGTAATTCTTAACTTCGTAACTTAATTAATTTTGTAATTCTTAACTTCGTAACTTAATTAATTTTGTAATTCTTAACTTTGTAACCTAATTTTGTAATTTTTAACTTCGTAACTTAATTAACTTTGTCACTTAATTAATTTTTAACTTCGTAACTTAATTAACTTTGTCACTTAATTAATTTTGTATTCATAACTTTGTAAGTTAATTAATTTTGTATTCTTAACTTTCTCACTTAATTAATTTTGTAATTGCCGCATGCTTTGGTTGATCCGATGTTCGGTTAAAGTACTTAGACAGAGGAAGCGGCTGTAGAAATAATATTCTAACCGGTATACATACATCTTTACATTCTTGAAACCGTTGTTTAGACCAGTATAACCAACGAATGGCAAGAAATCTCAAACCGGTTCTTGTTTTGATGTTATAGCTACATTGTAACAATTCACTTGACATGTGCCTATCAAAAAGTTACTTGTATTTCTAACTTTTAATAAGCTAGTAACCAAACTAATAGTTAAAGTACATGTTATATTTATAAAAAAAAACACACAAAAAAACAGAAAGTAGTAATTTTGTATTTAACTCCAAGTAATGGTTTTCATACTTCATATATTGTTTATCCAAAAGCTCTAATAATTCACTAAACGCTCTTTTGTGTGGGATGTTCCAGTTGATTTTGTCCACTTAAACACTTGTTTCAAGCGGGAGTTTCCCCGCAGGGGCAGGTAATATAAACTGGAGTTCCTCCAAACACTAGATCGAGTAATGAAACAATAAATATGTAGTATTTTGAACACTAATAAACTCGGAATTCAACTCAGAAAAAAATTATTTGGGTGATTAGAAATAAATATTAAAGCATTCTAAACTCTGATAAGTTTGTAATTATATAGATAATATTTTGTAGTTAATTTTCTATATTTTCAAATATATGTGATTATTACACAACCTATTATTATTTCAGGTTAGTGTCATAAACAAAACGGGCATTTACAGCATTTTTGTACAAATGTGATTGGTAATAAATGTGATATTACATCGCGATAATAATTTAATCACGACACTTCATCGCCTATCCTTTACTATGGCCTTGCAGTGTAAAGACAAATAATTCCATCATTGTGCTATAAACATTTTTAATTAGGACATTCCAGCTCCACAACGACCCAACATGTACTATTACCAAATGGGGAATTGCCTGAGAGGAACCTCAGGAGGTAGTCATGGGTAGACAGGTGCTATACAACCTTTACTGAGATAACACAGCGTTACACAGGCCTGCGATGGTTTAATTGTCTTGAATTTTTTACATGTTCTACAGTAATTACTGTACGCTGAATCCGAAAAAATGATATCCATTTTTCTCCATCACGTACAGATTTTTCACAAAACGTCATAACGCAATACATAAAAGAAAGACCACAACACGTAGTTTGAGACTAAAAGACGTAGTTTTCAGACCAAAAAAATCAGGATGAATGAGGATGCATATTCATTTGACATCAATGTTTTCCCCCTTTTCTTCGGTTTGTTTGTATTTTTGTTAACAGATATAATAATAAAAAATGTTCATTGTGGTAAACGAAATAATAATTTGATCTAAGTAAGAGATTTTGTTTTCTTCACGATATGTAAAAAAAATTCTTACGTGATCGAAAAAAAAATAATATTATTTTCGAAATCTGCGTAGCTGAATTATAGAAAATCCTTTATTAAAACCAAACCAACTTTTATGAAGGCCTCTGCAATTGGTTACCACCCTTTGCGTCACTATGATCTATAGAAATAAGCCTAGACAAAAAAGGTAGAGAATGAACTGAGGGTGAAGCAGGAAAAGCTTACCATCACTTATTTACAAACCGTGATGGACAGTGACCTGTCATCATGACCACATATAAGTAGCGAGCTGGTTGGACATTCTTCGTCTGGCGGAGAAACAGCATTTTGTAGAAGGCTGGTGGAACATTCGAGCTGCCTACAAACAGCACAATGACGCTCGATTCGCAATCTGCGGGTCGCGGGTTCGCATCCCCATCCCACCAAAACATGCTCGCCCTTTCAGCCGTAGGGGCGTTATAACGTGACGGTCAATCCCACTATTCGTTGGTAAAAGAGTAGCCCAAGAGTTGGCGGTGGGTGGTGATGACTAGCTGCCTTCCCTCTAGTCTTACACTGCTAAATTAGGGACGGCTAGCGCAGATAGCCCTCGTGTAGCTTTGCGCGAAATTCAAAACAAACAAACAAGCTAGTAATCAAAATAATGGTTAAATTATCAACATAAATTAGTATTTTTTTATCAAAAATTTATTATAAAAGTTGTTTTATAATTATCTGGAGTTTAAAGGTCGTTTTTCTCTAACTATTTTATCAAAATGTTTAAATCCCCCCAGTATGCACTATAAATTTTGAAAGGTAACTAAACGGCAAGGCCATCACTTGGATATATGGGCCAGACCATGCAGGCCTGAAGTTTAACGAGTACATTGAACAATCTAACACAACTGTACTAGCAGGATATCGACCTTCTCTGAATTAGAAAGGCGAAATCAGCAGGTATTGAAGGTTTTCATCGACATTAATGGGAATGGAACTGCTGGAAAATAAAATATCTTATGGTACAGCTAGGAAGATAAAAATATTGGCGAATCAGTAGGACAGTGTACAGTCAATAGGTCACAATGGTGAATCAGTAGGACAGTGTACAGTCAGTAGGCCACAATGGTGAATCAGTAGGACAGTGTACAGTCAATAGGCCACAATGGTGAATCAGTAGGACAGTGTACAGTCAGTAGGCCACAATGGTGAATCAGTAGGACAGTGTAAAGCCAGAAGGCCACAATGGTGAATCAGTAGGGCAATGTACAGCCAGAAGGACACAATGGTGAATCAGTAGGGCAGTGTAAAACCAGAAAGCTACAATGGTGAATCAGTAGGGCAGTGTAAAGCCAGAAGGCCACAATGGTGAATCAGTAGGGCAGTGTACAGTCAATAGGCCACAATGGTGAATCAGTAGGACAGTGTACAGTCAATAGGCCACAATGGTGAATCAGTAGGACAGTGTACAGTCAGTAGGCCACAATGGTGAATC